CGGATATCATCTTCCGTCTTCAGCCAATAGCACGCACAATCATTGTCGCTGTATCTATCTATAGAATAGTATAGATAGAGTCTAGATGCACTGAATGCTGCCGCAGATTAACCTATAACCACCTGTACGATGTTCTGTACGGCGGAAGACTGTAGCGTTGGACGTTGCATTGGTCCGTACAAATTCATCTTGCATTCATTGATATAGAGAGTACGGAATGCCAATTCTGTTCCGTACAAATTCATCTTGCATTCTTTGATATACAGGACTGAATGCGAATTCTGTTCAATCAAATCAATCAAACGCGCCATGAGGTCCGCAGCACAAAGTCAGACATCGATTCTGATTTGATCGCGCGAGTTTTTTTTTTCTTCTGTTCCAGCACTTGTTATGAGTGATCATCATTTGAGTCAATAGTTCATCTTGCAGATGTGATTCGCGCGCGTGGCACTTGCATTCTTTGATTGTGAGCTCGGCGAATCATATGCCGCAGCGACTGCAATCATCTGCTCTACCTGATTGCTTCCTTTTTAAATTTGCCGTTATTTTCTCCGTCCTACCTTCTTCTCCCGAATACAACGTACTACGGTCATTATAGCTGTATCTAGACTGAAAGATGCCTCAAATACAGCTATAATGACCGTACGTTGTATTCAGGGGAAGAAGGTAGTCCACTCTCTTGGTCTCCTTTTGCAGCCATCCTTTTTTTTTTTTTTTTTCTTTCTCTTCTTTCTCGTTTGCAAGCATCTTTGCTCGCCTTGCATCGAATTGATTTCCCCGAATAGAACGCTTGGTCATTATACGGACCAGATACGGCGAGTTGTTGTCACTTGTGTGCGCAATCGATTGCTCTCTACTGCCTTTTTTTTCTTTTTTTCCCCATTATCAGTTCKTTCTCCTCCTATATAGTATATCGTACCGTCGTCACCCGAATAGAACGCCCGGTCATTACAGCTGAATTTGGCACAGCTTTCAGCCCAGATACGGCGATAATTACCCGGCGTTCTATTCGGGTGAAGACGACGGTAGTTTCGAACAGAATCTTCGTAGATCCGTTGGCGGCACAGGTGTGTTCTTTCTCACTTGTGTGTGAACTYGCCTTTGATTGATTGGTCTGTACTCCATTCTTTTCCTTGCTTTCTTCTCCTCCTACCTAGTATATATCCTAGCGTACTAGAAAATCTTCCACTCCTGGCAAGAAGACAATAGACAGGAGGAGGGATAAGAGAGGGATCCATGCTTTCTTCTCCTCCCTAGTACGTCCTAGCCTAGTGCAGAATCGTCCAATCTTGCGAAGAAGACAATAGAGAGGAGGAGGATAAGAGAGGAAAAGGATAAGGATAAAATATGGCACTTTATCCACTCTTCATTCCTGAACCTGCCATGGAAACAGTGGTAGATACGTTTCGACACGTGATATCCCTGGGCGATGACGTTTTCACAATGCTGGACGAGCCAAGTCGGACTTACGTGAGAGAGTCGCAAGCTATGGCTAACACGGCGGTAGACGTGAAGGAGACCGCGACTTCGTTCGAGTTTGTGGCTGATCTTCCAGGACTAGGACGTGAGGAGGTGAAGGTGCAGGTGGAAAACGGCAACGCGCTGCTAATCAGCGGAGAAAGACATAGGGAGAGCAGAAAAGGAGAGCCAGGGGACAAGTACCATCGAATCGAGCGGAGCACGGGGAGATTCATGCGTCGTTTCGTACTACCTGAGAATGCGGATCTGGATAAGATCGGCGCGCAGTGCAAGAATGGCGTCCTAACGGTCACCGTTCCCAAGATCCCGCGCACGGAACCGGAGAAGCCGAAGGTCATCGACGTTCATATCAGCTAAACAGATGATGACGGTTAGTGGATCCTCCTCCTGCCACCGATGGAGAGGGAGGAGGGGTGGGGACACTGGGGAGTTGAGGGAGGAAGACTCGGATGCGTAAAAGGGAGGGGCACATAGAAGCTAGGCACGTGATTGATGATTTTGCTCTCTTGCGGAATTCGTGTTTCACAGTTGAGCACGTGATTGATGAGGCCCCGAAGGCAAAATCATAAAAGCTAGATTGAACGCGGTGGTACCGTCACGGTGGTGGGAGGTAACCGAACGACGTTACGACGGACGGTTGAGGCCCCGAAGGGCCAAACATCGAGCAACTATTTAAATCTCTCTCTCTCTCTCTCTCTCTCTCTCTCTCTCTCTCTCTCTCTCTCTCTCTCTCTCTCGGCCCCCCATATCTATCTATCTATCTATCTATCTATCTATCTATCTCT